ACTAATATCCGACGACGGATGGGGAATTGGAATCTCTGAAGCAGACACAGAGAGAAAGGAAAGGGGATTCCCTGAAGGGTTGACTTTGCAGTTAATATTTGAGCTAACAATACCTCTCTTATACATTCGGTGTGGATTGAAGTGAGGACCGTTTCTTTGTTCAAAGTCTCGAGCAATTGTTACGGGATCTGATATTCAAACTGACGATCCCCTTTTGATATAAGTTTCTGTGACTTTCTTGGCAAAAGTTGGACTTCTGGTTGATGAAATCAAATTAAAAACATTTGTTTTTAAATGTTGATCGTAATTCAATGATTCGTCGAATTTTTTAATGTAATATTTAGGTGACAGTGATTGGTACCCTCGTGAGCAAACTCCACTTCCGCTAGGGGAAAAAATGGCGTAGAAGAAAAGTCTTCTACCACTCTGTAAATTTATTTCAAGTGCTGAAATAAATGTTAAAACGAATGTTAATTCGGCATAAATTTCAGTAACTGCCAAAACTAAATTTTAGAGGCCCTTCGCCTACCCCACTTTTTTCCCTAGCGGAAGCCTCGTGAGGGTACACCCACGAGGAAACTCGGCTTCCGCTAGGGGAAAAAGTGATGCAAGGGAAAGACCTCCTACCACTTGGTCTCAGAGTTATTGAAAATTATGCGAAATTAATATTTGGTTTAACATTTATTTCAGTATTTGAAATAAATTTATCAAGCAATAGGAAGCCCTAACCCCTACATTGCTTTTTCCCCTAGTTGAAGCCAAGTGTGCTCGTGGGTGTAAAAGCGTTTCAATAGTTTTTTAATTACTGTCATGGCAGTGATTGCCTATGAAAATTAAGCCCTACGGTATTAATGTCACCAATATCGTCTGTAGTCATGTGCAACCTAACCTAAAAAAGTGACAGTATTTAGGTATATAAAGGTGACAGTATTTGATTAGGTGGTAGTAATTCGATCGAACACGTTTTACGGGTGTCAGTAATAGCTTTCGATATATATTTTTGAAACTAATGAATTCATAAACAAAAGTAGAAATTCAGAATGTTACAACAAATTTTTCCTTCAACTCAACGTACTAAATAATAATAAATACAAATCAAAACCTATGTTTCTGGTCATTTAATACAAAAATTATGCAATAATATCAGTGTCATTTCTTAAAGTGTCAGTAATTGGGTCTTTTACCCTAGTTCGCCCGCGAATTAACGACGCCGATGAGTCAAGATCGCGTGCGCGGTCCAAAAGGAACGTCGAAACGATCGATATGCTCTCCGTTCGAACACGCTTCCGCACCGTTTCCATTTATTTGCTTAATTACCAGACGACGGCGATTAATTAACGGGGGAAAGAGCACTTCTGGTGTCTGAACGAGCGGTAGGTATCGCCTGTTGGTAATACGTATCCGTGCCTATAATTTTTCACAGTCTGCGCAACGATTCGGGGGATCGATACAGTTGTAATTGAATGGACGAATGTGTAATAAAAAAAGAGTTCATAACTTGTAAAATAGATAGTAGGTACTCGTTAAATGATGAAACAGTCCTGACAAACACTAGTCGAAAAATTAATATTTTCAAAGTTATAAACAGCTTTTGCTTTCGATTAAGGTAGCTCACGCGTTTGGTGTCAATTTTACCGATTTAATTGAAATGATTAATATTTTAAGCTGCTTCAAATTACTGAAATGGAAAAAAAAATTACAAATAAGTGGAAAAAATAAAAATTTGTTCTTAATGTTTTTTTAATTTAAAAAGAAAATTGGAAAGATCGTCGATCAAACCAAAGGAAAGCAAGTGACGTTGACGCTGATGTGCACAGAAGATACTACTAAACGCATTGAAATCTAAGTTTGCATACTTTGATCTTAATTTTTCGTTTTATTTGATCGTTAACATATCTTTTTTTCCGTGCCATCATAAACTCCTAACCCTTTGACTATGAAAGGCGTATATATGCGCTCTCACATGTCTATCAATGTATACGAAAGGCTTATATACAGGGTGTTCCGCTTAAAACAGGACACCTAAATATTTTCTCTATCTGTGACCATACGAGAAATATTTTTTATATAATTTACATGGATTCAAGAGACGAATCAGATGGTAGAAAAAATTATATAAGTGAATTTAAAATTTTTAGAGTAAATTTTTTATAAGTAAATTAAAATTTGTGTTATAGTTTAAAGTCATTTCAAGATCATACTATTATACATGAATAAATGCATTATAATATTTGCTATAACATACAACAGGAAAATATACGTAAAAAAAAGCATGAGTGGCCTTGAAAAACCCATTAAAAAATGACACTTATACCAAATTTTTTCCACCGCCCGATTCGTCTCTTGAAACCATTTAAGTTACGTAAAAAATATTTCTCATATGATCACAGATAGAGAAGATCTTTAGATGACCCGTATGAAGCGGAACACCCTGTATACGCCCTCTAAATTTTTCTTCTTATAACATATTTACTGTTCTACTAAACTGATCTAACATAGAAATTAGATTTTTTTTATATATTTTTTGTTACCGACTGACTTGCGCATATCGCGCCGCAGTCGAAAGGTTAAATACGATACTTATGAGCGGTAGAGTAAGTTTCTCCGAATGATATTAAAACCCATATCAACGAAAGCGTTCGTTTTCACGTGCCGTTAGGATTGGCGCGCGAAGGGATAACAGCAGTACGGCACCGGAAAAATAAACGCGTTCCTCGCCCGTGGTTTTATTATTTAACGCGCCGCAGCAATCAAAGTCTGTTTCCCGATGTATCGCAGATAGATCGAGAAATATTGCCCAATAAACGTATACCAGCTCGACCTCCCTCTGGTTTAAACTGCATGAATCCCCCCCACTAGAACTCCTTGAATCACCGTCGACCCGGATCGCGCGGGCTTTTGAACATTCACGGAGATATCGATCCCGATTTCGCCTGACGTGTCGATTGAAAACGAAGCCCGTGAATCGACAGGACGGCTCCGAGCCGAATGGGACATTATTTTCCGCGTTCTTACCTCGGTAACAGATGGGACGGTTTCATTTCTGGTGCCCATTACAGGCTGAACGTCTACTTTTTTTTACGCGATACTTCCCCCATTCCAGATTAAATTTCTATTTTATATTGCTCTAGTTTTTAGATCGTTACCTCTACTATTGGCACTAGACTGCGACAGTAGTGACAATGTTAATAAGAATATAGGAATACCGTTAGAGTGCTGCATTGAAAATGGAATTAAGATTTTATAAATATTCGAGTTCTACCCAACGAGTATTTAACCATTCCTACCTACCACAGTGTTAATACGAATATTATATTCGTTATTCTTATATAACGTTACAATGCTAGATGCATTGAAAATAGAATTAAGGTTTTAGTAATATTCATGGATCTGACCAACGAGCATTTCACAAATCCCACCAGCGAGAGCATGTGACGAGTCCATCAACGGGTGTTTAACATTTCAATGGTCCAACTCTACTGGCTCAACAACTTGATAAGAAATAGACATTTTAAGAAACAGTAGCTGATTAATCGGATTCCGTACTATAGCCTTTGTATCGTAGTTTCACTATACCTGGCATGTATAATTAAACGTCGCTGAATCAGCACTATTTTCCGCGGTATTGACATTCTAGACCGCAAGTCATTTGTGGCAACGTCTGCATTTAAGGAAGACCAAACACCGGACCGAGTTGAAGGCAATGGCGACGTTAACGGCGCTTTCTTTATCAGCCGCGCGGCGAGTTAACGTATTCCGTGATTACGAACCGCGGCTGTGCCGCGGACGAGGTTACGTCAAACAGTCGGCGATAACGGTTCGCGTCAATACGTGAAAACGTATCGCAACGAAAAGCCCCGGGTGGGATAACCTTAAAATAAACCGTACTCGAGGAGTCGATAACTCTGTACGTACACCTTTGATCGCCCGTCACTTCGATTCTCGATCGATCAATCGTTCGATCGCAACGCATCTGACAGTTCTCCGGTCGCTTTCGTTTTCTATCCGCGACTATGGAAGGAGAATCGTGTGACCATATGTTTTCAGCCGTAACTGTTAAAACATCGAAAACACTTCTGATGATCGCGACAATTACGATAATAGGGGGGTTCTTTATCAGCGACGACGATATAATTCACCGAGTAAATCGTATCTGCGATATGCATCCTCCCGTTGCGTTTTCCTCAATCCCCGACGAGTCGATTAAATTCCCTCGGACTGTCGCGTGCCCCGATCGAACGAAACTCGATGCTCGAAGGTCGTCGGTGGAGTAACGTCACCGACTAGTCTCTGGCATTTTAGTCACATGTTTGTTCTTTGTCACGCGGGTTTTACGTACGACGGCCGTCTGTCCGCGATGCTACACACTACCAACGTAAACCCCAGGGTCTAAGACCGCGAACAGAGAAACCGAACAACAGGGGGGGAAATGTCGCACGGGCAAAGATTCGGGAATTTTAACGGACGCCAGCTCGGTCCAGGCACACGAGCCGCGTCGACGTCTCCGCGGGGGAATCATGGCAGGACCAAGGGGGGAGGCGCAACGCGGCGACGACAGCCGAGAAGGCAAGGGACTCGAGAGAATCCGTCTTTCGGACAAAGGAGTGACAGAGACTCGACTAGTAAACACCGGGGGAGAAGTGGATGGTCGAAAGGGACCTGATTGCAGCACCGTTCAACCTTCGCCACGCTTCCTCCTTTTATCGCGCCTACGAGTAGCGATACAAGAGCTCAGATAAGGGAACGTAAGACGATAACGAGGCCCGATATCGCGCGACAGGTGAAAACACCGACCAACCGTAGCGACGTGACCACGGGGAGCGAACGAAAAAATGACACTGTCAAAAACGCGCTTCGATCGTAAACGCGCGATAGGATCGGGACCCGAAGGATTTCGGAGTCGCAAGATATAATAAACTCTTCCAGGACACGCGACCGTGCGCGGACAGTGACCGTTATCTCGAGATATAGAATAGAAATAACTGAAAGCGTGTACGTACCTCTGCGATTAAACGGCCGAACCCGAACGGCAACCTTTATTTTATCCGTAGCCATGATTTCACACCGGTAACGCGCACTGTATATCCCGATCACAAGGAACTGCTCGATGCTTTTCTTTTTATACACAGATAGAATATTCACACGATCATCATAGCGCTACATTATTCTCAACCCATACCGCGAACCCTTCATCTTTTCAAACGACACTACGTCTCACCGAGCCCATGACACACTTCGCCATATTGCTTGAAGCTCGTCGTGCACCAGACGACAGTCGTCCTATCGAGTGAACGTACTTTCGAGAACTGCCGCTAGGAACGCTCGAGAGCCCCGAGTCCTGTGACGTCACGTGTCCTGACGTGCCCCATCTGGTGGGGAATGATAGTACTGTGAAAACGATGCGTACACCGACGGTCAAGTGTAGGTAGTTGTCCACTCCCACGGTGGGAGTCCCACCGCGACGACTTTAGAGTCACTAGCTTACGTAGGAATCTCGTTTCTTAGGTCGTTGATATTTAATGATACATGAGGCAATTTGGAAACGTGTCCGAAAATCGTGTGAATTGCGATTAAGCAGTTTTTCTAACGATGTTCTATTGTCTATGGAATCACTCTGAATTGACATTGTGTATCGATACTCGTTTATTATGACGCTTTAACATCGATTCCATGTAACTCGTTAGCAACGAGGCAAGATAGAATGACCCTCGGTTTCACCAGTCCCTTCATGAAGCTGGTGGTGTCATGGTTTCATTGATCTCTCTATTTGCATTTAATTTAGTTACTTAAGTTAAGTCCGCCATAAGACTACCATAAGCTCAAGAAAGAAGACGTTCATCACCCACCGAGGGAAATCAACATTAAAGCGTCTATATAGATTTTAGTAAGTCGATTGTAGGTCTTTGTAAAAAGGGAGGTAGATGGAACTAATGATTCCATCGATGTAACTTCGGTGACATTAATGGGATCGGGTTCCATCTAAATAATTTACTTTGTTGGGTCTCCATTCACAGCAACCTCCACGTGGTGAGTCCTGAGCAAACGGTATTATCCTCGATAAAGTATTGTAAACCGAGGGTAATACCGACCTAATCGCTGCAAACGTAGAATTAATTTCTCTAGTTATAAGAGTGAATGTAAGATCGAACATTTTTAGTTATTTCAAGAAATATTCAAAGTGTCTTATATTCTTAAATTATTCGGCAATTGCTTGTGGAACTCTGAATGTTTCGTAGAGTTTCTAACGTAGTTTGACCCTCAAAAATTCTGCTAAAAACCGAGAATAAATAAGATTTAGAGTAAGAAAATTTTCGAAGTATTTTGAATTCGACAATGCTTATATTTCAATAGTTTGCTAATTATACAGCCAATAATATGAGCTAATTGGCTGTGAATTTGTTCAGTGTGCTCAACTCATTCTTGCCGTTAGAACCACATACCGCCTATTTGTAAATGACAAGTATATATTAAAGTTTTGTATACAGTTTCCAACAGTAATTTAGACAGGATTATAAAGTGGTAATTGTATGCTCATTGAAATCGATGTAGATTGTTCAATTCAAGAAAAATAACTGTTGAATGCACTATACGTAGAGTTCTAATAATTCTTGTCGTTCGCGCCATATACCAGCTAGCTGTAAGCGACAAGAATCACTTATTTCGTTAACTATTGCATATTAGTTGAGGTAATAGCAGCAAACAGTCTGACATAAGTAAAATAACTTTTTATTAACAATTAGGACAGGAACAACATTTTATTATATTTCTTTTTATTAAAGATTCAGAGTGATCCATAGCAAATTATACTGAAAAATGAAGTCATTCCCTCCATGTAACGTGTACATCATCTGTACGATACCTCTGTACACAAGTTGTTTGTATCCAGGGAGTATGTCCACCACTTTTATACTGATATAAGCCTGCCACAGCAATCATTACACCATTGTCTATACAGAATCGTTCGTCTGTAGCATAGAGTTTTGCGTTTCTTTCTTTACACATAATTTCCATCATATCTTGTAACCTTTCGTTGCATCCAACACCACCAACAATTAAGACTTCTGATGATTTTACATGGGCCATTGCTCGTTCTAAAATGTTATTAAATAGGATATACAAGGTGTCTCATTGCAGCAACAGGTGCCACTTCTCGGGTGGTTAATTTTACAAGTTCATTATATCTTGTTCTCTAAGTATACATGTTCTATTCATACTACATGAAACAATACCTGTAATTTCAATCAGCATAGCAAACACTGTTTCTTGTAGAGAAAAACACAAATCCTCTGGAGTAAATTCTTTTGAATCCAGCCAAGAAGAAAGATGTTCCTCTATATGACTTAAGATACCAGAAAAAGATACATCCATTCCTTTTACCACATATGGCAATGGAGCTAATTTCTTTCCTCTTCATATTCATGAAATTATAATAGACAAGTTAAGTGACAAGATCATTCGCCGAAATAAGAAGATTCTACTCAACTTCTGTTTTCATACACTATTAAAGGTTCTTAATCTTCATAAAATAACTTACTTCTTTGCCAATTGTTCTATATTATAGCCAGGACTAGGATCATTCGAAAGCTTCAACAGTCTTGCAAAACGGTCCAAACAATTTCCAACAGCAATATCTATTGTCTCACCAAAAATACGATATCTTTGCCGAGAGTAGGCAATAATCTGTGTGTTTCCTCCAGAAACATATAGGACAGTTGGATTCATACTACCTGTGATTAAACGTCCCATTTCAATATGACCAATACAATGATTCACTGCCACTATTGGTTTATTGTACAGTTGAGCAACAGTTCTAGCTACCAGTGCTGCAACTGTTAATGGTGCTCCCATTCCAGGTCCCTTTGTGTAACATACCACATCCACATCTTTTAATGTTATCCTGGCATCATCCAATGCTCTTTGCAGTACGTTAAGAATATGTTGTCTGTGATGTTGAGCCGTTTCACGAGGTAGAAATCCTTTTCAAAAGAATCTTTAAAAAATTTTATGCACAACTTCTTAAATATTAAAAGATGAATTAATGTATTCTAAAAGTAAACATAGAAGGTTATCCTTTTACCTTCACCCGGTGGCGTGATATAAGTATGCCGTACGTTCGACAATACTTTCTCATCCTGAATAATGCCAATGCCTAGTTTATTCGCGCTGCCTTCAAATCCAATTGCGATCACCATTTTTCTTGCACTTAGTCACACTTAATCAATAAATAGGTTCGTAAACAGTAAACATTAGCACGCGGGTATCGGCGGGCTTGGCGGGTATATCAAATTTTCAGTCACACACATATCCACATATTCAAGCATGTATATATATGTACAATAGAAAGTGGGGCAAATAAGCTTATTTAATGGTATCCTCTGTATACTTTTCCTTTTCGGTGGTGTCTACATTATTTCTTAAAATCTAGGGATTCGTTATTGGACTGTAATAATTATCGGATTTGGCGTTTTTTATTAATATTAATTTTTTTTCATGAGTACTGGATAAAATGTTCAAACGACTCTTGGTCCCATCTACGGACAAAATACCCAAGCTATTAACAAATTAGTACTAGTTTACTTATCCGAGATGGCGCTACAGTATCCTTTAAATTTTAAATTTGGTACATATAAAATTACTGTACATATTTGATTATTCCTGTAATATTTAGATCCATGGGCTTGAGTAAAGCCTAGGGTCTTCAATAAATACATACATACATACATAAAAAAACAAAGGATGACCACACAGGGTTAAGTTTTATTAAAATCAAAAGGTTGACCTTTTCAGAAATACATTCATCTTTTCGAAATATCATATAAATGAAAGTAATGTTGGTCCACTAATTGTAAAACTAAAATATGTCCACCTTTTTATTAATGAAATCTTGGACATTGAAAAAAATAATATAAACATCAAAATACATAGTTCTTGAAATAGATATTCAATCGTTTTAATTAAAGAAAAATTCGAATTAAATTTTAGCATTTAAATAACCATATAAATATTGAATAATACTAATTGAATATGTTATTTAGTTATCATCTCCAAGAAATTTTATAAAATCAATATTAAAGAATCCTTAATGTATAAAATGCTATATAAAAAATCTGAAAATCATATAAAAATATATAAATTCTGTATATCTTGTTTTGTTGCGAAATTTATTTAATAAAAACGTAAGTTAGTGATCACTTTAAATGTTCATACATGTATAAACATATTTCACATAGTAATGTTACACAACAATATAAATTTCTTCTATAATCTTTCACAATGATGGAAGACGCTACATAACTCAATTCAATCGTGATTTGTTATTAAACGTAAGAATCAGTTGTGTACACTGTAAATATAAATCAATGACTGTAATATTTTGGTCCCATTTTAAGGAGAACCAAATTATTTTCTGGAATGCACTTAATAGATTATATAGTATCAGCAATTAGTTTAAGTATACAACGTTCTCATAAAAAAGTTTTTATCTAAATGTAAAATCGACATTAATGGAAGAATATCTGTATTTAAGTATTTAATTTAACACACTAAAATTCCTGAGGACTGATGAATGCATAATAAAATGATGTGCTTCAACTGGAAATAAAAAAATATGTCTGATACTATGACGACGATGATGCTCTATTATTATTGTACATTAATATGCAGTTGTATCCATTCAAAATAATAATTTAATATAAAAATAACTAACGAATTAATTTTAATGATACATGTATATGATTTGCATACTTTTCTGAGAAAGGTTGAACACTGCAATTACAGTTCATCCTTCTCATCAAGATCTATATCGCTAAGATCGATATCTTCTTCCTGAGGAAGTTCGGCATCTTTGCCATCCCATGGTGCCGTTTCTAGAAAAGCAGGTAACTGAGCTCCTTTTAATGGAGCTGTACCTCCTCGTCCGTAACTTAAATCTCGTAAAAATTCATTTATGCCGTCGTAAGTGAAACTTCCCTTGAGTAACGAATATTTCATTTTCTTTGTATTCACAACCGCTAATGCCGGATAGCCGAAACCTCCTATTTCTAACGCTTCTTCTATGTGAGGCTGAGCACCAGCTTCCGACCAAACCCACCTATTAAAAGAGAAAAGAAAAAAAAGACCTCACAGTCTGAAATGTGGAGTCATCTATGCATACTGACTAACGTTCGTACGTACCCCCACATTTTTTGCTTGTATTTCTCTCCAAGCTCATTCAGTGTTTTCAAATATTGATTTCTACATTCCGATTGACAATCTAAGATATGTGGTAAAACTGACACAACACATAATAGTTTGTCATCACAAGCATCTTTGAAACTCTTCTCATTTACAATTTGAATTACTTCTGGGGCTGGAACATTTTCTGCCAATTTGTCCAGCGCCCAATTCACGATATCGCTGCTTGTACGACCGCCATCATATTCTTGCACAGAATCAAAAGATTTTTTCCCAGGTGCAAAGTATTTGATTGTAGGATATCCTTTTATTTCATATTGACTAGCCTATAATATTACGTGATATATAGGAAAAAAAGAAAAATACACTGTAAGCTTATATCTGAATTATTTCTGAACAATATACTTACTTTCACTCTATGTACAGTGGCATCAAGAGCCCCCAACTTTACTTTTCCCTGAAGTTCTGTGGCAGCGGATGCCCAGATGGGAGCCAAGTTTTTACAGTGACCACACCAAGGTGCATAAAATTCAATCAGCCACATATCTTCCGAATCCATTACAACTTTCTCAAAATTTTCATCTGTCAATTCAATCACATCCTTGGAATCTTTAGACTATAAAAACAGAAAGTTCTTCATTATCTGTCTGCTGTTGTACATTATCTTTTCACATATTTACCTTAGAATCTCCATTGTTTCTTTTGCCACCTAAAATTCTACGTGCTTTTTGACCAGCTGCATTCAAAGCTGCGTCGACAATTCCAAACCTTTAACTCCATACATTGAACCAAGTGATGCATGTTCATCTGCATTTATTGCACCAACTTTTACAATGCCCTGTTAAGGATTCACAATCACAATAAGAAATTCTTTAAAAAGAATAAAATGAATGACAACACAATAACAAAAAGCCAAACTTACCTTTAATGCAGTTGCAGCCTTGTCATACTCGGGTGTTAACTGCCGGCAATGCCCACACCATGGTGCATAAAATTCAACGATCCAAACATTATCACTATTCAACACCAAATTGTCAAAATTATTTGGCTCAAGGTTTACAACATTTGAGTGGGTGTTGTACAAACAGTGAACTCCAGTGATTAATATCAAGATACCTGAATCAAACATACATAATAAATACTAAATTGCGCGTAAATATCACAGGAAAAAGTATTTAGATTTCCATGAAAATATACATTAATTCGGTAATAAAAAAGCATTAGAATGGTATACATATGCCGGTTAGTATAATAATAAAAAGTTACGAGGCAATGAACAAGTATTACTCCATGAAACTCACCTAAAAAACCTTGCATTTTTCTAAGCAAAGTGCTAATAAATTTACAATTTTCTTTGATAAAACATTCACTGCGAAATCGTTTATTAAATATAAGAGCGAAACGAATGCAACCCCTTTCTACAAAATTCAATCGCTCCGTTCACTATCCCACTCTTTATAATCACATATAACTTTTCGTGGACTGTTCTGATTGGTTCCTTGTAATCAACATCCATACGTTACAAAAGAAATAACCTCGGCAGGATGTTAATTCACTAAGCTCATGTATCCTATGTAGATAACCAGAACACGGAATTGCTATGCCCTTTCCATTAGGACATTATTTCTTCTCGCATATAATGTGAAAAGATGCGCTATTTTCGCAATGTCGAATTTTATTTGGTAAAATGATGCAAAGCAATTCAAATTTGTGTAGGCGGAAGTAGTGGGTGTATGAGTGTGGGTTGATTTATTCTTCCTCTCTGGATTTGATTGATTTTTATGTACTTACAGTCAAGAATTTATATCAAAATGTAAATTATCGGTATTGTAACGGTATCTAGCGATTAGGCTTTTATGGTCCATATATGATGTTATGTAGCTACATGAAAATGCCGCTGATTGATATTTATTTATATAAATACATATCTGTACTCTTATTTCAATTCTGTACTTGCTAAGTTGTACTAAATTTTAAAAGATAACTCAAAAGATATATCTATATGTATACATAGATACATAAACATGCTGATTATTAATTTAATAAAGTTTTTTTCATCATAATATCATTAAGAATATTGTCAGTTACATTGTTAGACAGATCATATTATTTTTATTTATTAATGAAGTTTTAGTAGTCTAGGGATACGATCCCTACAGCTACAGTTCTGGTAAATAAGGGGAAGCATGTGTCACTCATGTCACTTTTACATATATACGTAGACTGCATAGAGACCATATGACTCGTATTTTCTACACTGATCTATATAGTATATAGATCAGTGATTTTCTGTTGCATTAGTGACATGTGTAATTATAACCATTAAATAATAAGAAAAATTATGCATTGAATGAAGTTTTACTTGTTGCACTTAATTCTTATTACTTCTTATCTTCATAAAAACAAAATATTTGAACATTACTTAATCATAAAGTATCAAGTACATATTTTCACAGGGTTTTGTTATAAACGTTAAAAATATATTGTCAGTGTTGAAACAAGTATTCAGTCACGTAAGATTTAATTTTTTACTTGAATAAATAAAAAATTTTGTGGTGGAAAACAGTGAATAGTACTCACAATGGTAATTGAAACAAATATCTTAATATTAATTTTGCAGATCAGTCTTAATTATTAAGTTTCTAATTATTTAATTACATAAAAAGTATTATGTAATTAAATATTACAATAATACAGTTCTAAAATTTCATACAGGATATTTTCAAACCTATTACAAATAATAATTTAATATGGTTTTTAGCACGGAAGACTAAAGGTTCGTACAAGTGCAGAACAAGAAGAAATAAAAAAGAAAGAAAGGGCAAAGAAACTTGCACAATATAGAGCTGGCATGAGTTTGGTATTTCAAAAAGTAATTTTCTTTCAATATCATCTGTTTAATACGTATTTATATTAATTATTGATTTATACAAATAAGTTAAATGAAAACACAACAAAAATAATATATAATGTCTTATAATATGTAAAGTATTTCAATATTACAGAGAAAAGATAAAACTTACGATGATGAACTAATGATGGTTATTGAACGATTACTAATAGAGAATCCTGATATTTATACATTATGGAACATTCGAAGAGAAGCATTTACAAATAATGAGTGGTAGCTATGAATTAATAACAATTAAGTAATAATATAACTGATCACCTTATTTATTGAGGCAATTGCTATAATTATCTAGGCATAGTGGATAAGATGAATAATTTACTTTTTTAGGCATTAATCTGTTATATCATTGATATAAAATAATATTAATAATTATTAAACAGCATTTATTTTGTGCACTATTCAATTGTCTGTCAGTAAGCTATTCATTTATAAAATTCAATTTTGTATTTAATTTCATTGAAAATTTTGACAAGAGAAATTCATTGTTGACTAGAATTTTTTGATATAATTTCTTCATAAAATATTCGTCTTACAATTAAGTAAAACTATAAAATTTAATGTAAATGTGTTCGATAAAACAGGAGCGAAGAACGATTAAATGAATCCTACCGACATGAATTAGTTCTTACTGAAAACTGTCTGAAACAGAATCCTAAATCGTATTATGCATGGTACCAAAGAATATGGATTATGGAACATATGGCAGAACCCGACTGGAAAAGAGAACTAATGCTATGCACCAAATATTTAGACATTGATGAAAGAAACTGTGAGTCACTATTAACGTTAACTTTTTTTATTGTAATATCTAAGATACAGTAAATCACAAGCATTTTTTTTTGTTTTAGTTCATTGCTGGAATCATAGGCAATATGTTGTACAAAAAGCAGGAGTTTCTCCTGAGGATGAGTTTAAATATTCCACCTCGAAAATTCTAAACAATTTTTCTAATTATTCTTCCTGGCATTACAGGAGCCAACTTTTATCGAAGCTATTTGATGATTGTGATAAAAAAAGCATTGATGAAAAAAGAAAAGATGGTAACGTTTTTATAGTATACTACTTGTTATTTGTAAACATATTAAATTATTATTAATGGAAAATTACTATAAATACGATATGATACTGAATATAGTTTTTTTTCTTCTAGAACTTGAATTGGTGATGAATGCCACGTTCACAGATCCTAATGATACGAGTGCTTGGTTCTATCAAAGATGGTTATTAAGTACTTATGACGTTTCTTCTACCCTCTCTCAAGCTTTGTTACAAGATAATAATGTTATTCTCTATATCAATGAAAATATATCACCTGAATCAATATGTCTGCGTATTAACAATGAAATTGAATCCATTGAATGGAAGTCTTGGCAAAAAACAAAATTTTCTAAATTGTGGTTTGGAAGATTAAAAAAACAACCGAATGAAATAAGTGAAATCCTAGTTGATATTGAGGGAAAAGTTTATCCTTTACACTATTCTAATCAGAAATGGATTTATAAAAAAAGGAAATCCAGACCGTCTTATAATGAAGACCAATTAGTGGATCAATTGTCAAATTATAAACAGCTTGTAGACATGGAACCCGATAACAAATGGGCTCTCCTTACTGCTGTACATTTAATGAGAAAAATTGATTATATAAAATTTAATGACGATATTCTAACAAATTTAAAGGCTCTGCTCAAAGTTGATCCTCTGCGGTTTAATTACTATAAAGACTTACGTGAGTACATTCAATAGCTAGACTATACAAAGAGGAATAGTATTACATTTCTTATAGTATTAAATGTAACGATAATTTTTATTTTATATGACTTTTACTTTTTTTTCAGGAAGTAAATACATAATAAAGTACAAATTATACGAATTATTTAACACAAAAGAAGATCAAGAAGTAGAATTAAAACTGGATCTTTCAGGTTTAAATTTAACAACACTGAGTAATAATGAAAACCTTAGTTTCTTTGAGGAAGTAAATCTTGGTGCCAACACTTTAGCAAAATCCTTACATCAGTTAGGTTTACTACAGAATTGTAAGAAATTATCGTTATCAAGTAATCAATTGGAAAGTTTGAAAAAATTTCCTATATTAGAAAATCTTGAAGTTCTGTCATTGAGAAATAATAAACTAAATATGTTAGAAGAAATATTACAATTATTAGTAAGACATAAATTAAAGTCACTTGATTTAAGGGAAAATCCAGTATGTAATGTTACACAATTAAAAACTACTATTATGGATATTAATCCAAATTTACAATTACACATAGAATAATTCTAATGATAGATATATTAATTTAAATAAATGGCTGTAAGTATCTAATAAATTAATCTCTTACATTTTGGCATGGGAAACATGCATCATTATTTGTTTACTACTATGCAGAAATTTCATTCAAGTTTGTACACTATTAACTTCTGAAATTAAAATTATTTAGTATACTTCTGTTTATGAAGAAAATATTACAGTATATTGTAAACTGTACTTACAAGAAATGATAAAATACAGAAATATTTTAAATATGTGTTCACAAAATTGTTGTACATGTTTATAATTAAAGTACATAAAATTATATGCTGTAATAATAATGTTATAACTATGCTCATTATTTTGTAAAAATTATAAATACAATTCTATCAGTAAATATGGAACAGTTGCGTATGTTAAATTAGATACACGACATATAACAACAAAAAAGATATAAAAATATTTAATGCTTTTAAAGTATAAGCAGAATATGTGAACTAAATTTGTATACCTGTTTAATAAAATAAATCAATTTAAAAAAAGCATTTTAAATAGATACATTTTAAAAGTCTATACTTTGTCACTGTCAAGAAATTTTGAAACTTCAAAAAAGCTTGATTATGTACATTGATGTGCAAACTCGGTTTCCGTTAGGAGAAAAAGTAGCGTAGTTGAAGGGTCCGCATACCACTCGGTAAATTTAAAACAAGTACTTAAATAAATGTCAAATTGAATGTTAATTTGAATTTGATATAAATTTCGGTAACTTCCGAAACCAAGTGATAGGAGGCCTTTTCCCTATGCCACTTTTTCCCCTAGTGGGAGCCGAGTTTTGCACATGAGTGAACATATTTACATATATAAAACAACTAACAGTCATTTTTTGTTCATAAATAGGTATAATGTTATAAATTCTAAATTTGAAGTCACGTAACGATGAATGAAAAATAATTGTAACTGTACTCGACATTTTAAAATATAATAACTTTAATATATTTGCATATACCCATTTTCTTTATTATGCTAATCTACCAGTATAAACTGTTTGAGTTAGAATTCGAAATAGTGAATTAATTTTAAAAAATCAATCAATAAAACTATATACCGATCTCACAGAGAACGTACCATAACAGAACACAACTTGCATCACTGTTTAGATTGCTATTCGATTTATTCTCTAGCATTTACTATGGCGAACAGTACGGGACGTTACTGTTAAAGTTTTTTGAGCGTTGTATCGAGGAATTCGTATTTGTTAGTGATATGACGATTCATTTCCAAATATTTTTATCGTCTTGCTTTTTCACTATTAGTATGTGTACTTGATACTGATAGTGATACTACGTGTAGATGAAGGTGAGCGTGCATGTATGTAAACGCGATACGTATGGTCACATTTAAGTCAATCATTATTTCTTATAACCTTTTTATGAATACGGAACACAGAAGCACGATTGAACAATCTTAAAAGATGCGGTTAAATCCGTATGTCTTGTAGCCGGGAAGAGGCGAAGGACGAACATATACCGTTTCCAATGGAGTGGATCGTGTTCTCCTCGTGACTTTCGGCTCGAAGTTGTAGATTTTACTGTATCTTCGCTTTGCGAGAAATTTTACTCGAAGTCTAGTTAACCGTGCAATTGCTACAGCGTATCATATCATGGCCTCGACAAAGAGAAAGATTCAAATTGGTTCTGCTTGGTTCCAAACGAAAATTAAACTAAGACCACAGCATCGAGGTATCCATCACGTTACCGAGGAAATATTAGGAAAAATTCCTGAACTCTGTGAATTTTCTATTGGACTCTGTCACATACAAAGTGAGTGATAATTTCTACTATAAAATTACATTTAATTATGCACTGGCTGATCTGTTCTCATTTAGTAATAATATTATTTCATACCTTTCAAACATTCTAATTTGTTTACACTACACTGCTATGTGTAAGGTTCTGAAATTTTGCAGATTTATTGGAAAGTAAATTAAACTAAAAATGTTGTAATAAATTTTGTCATGTTCCTTATATTTCACTGCTTATAAAACTTGACAAATTCAAGTTATTTATAAAAATTAGCTTAAATGATGATGCATTATTGCCAAGAAGAGCACATAGATTGTGACAAAAACTCATTGAGCCATGAACCCACAGAAAATGAAACAGTGTTTGCAATATAGAAAAAAGAAATAAGGATGGGTTGCACTTCGGGAAAAGTCATTCATCTATACCTTTTTTTCAACTAATGCTCGATGAAAAACTGGTATTCAATTGAAACTTTATCTATTTACTCTAATTAAAAATACAATATGTATTAGATTCATAGGTTCCTCCCTGATACGTACCACTTTCTCTAGCAATTGAAATGTTTAGACCAACAATTTATTTGAACATGTTATTTTTTATGTCAAAATCATACTGCTAATTTGAAGTGATTATTAATATAATATGAGAACAGATTAGACATTGTTTTCTAGAACATTTTATTTTCATTTGAGATATATACATTAACACACAAATAAAAAACATATGATTGCGTTACTCGAAAAAATATATGTATTGCTATACTTTTCAAAGATAATGAAATTTATTTGAAAAGAAAAATGGTTGTAACTGCAAAATGTATACAACTGTATTGGTAGTTTCACAATGTGTATATTTATGTAGTAATGGTAACAAAAACTCTTGACTTACTGTAACATGTAAAATTGATTCAAATTTCGAAACTTTCAGTTCTTCATACATCAGCAAGTTTAGCATTAAATGAAAATTGTGATCCAGATGTCAGGGATGATGTGGAAATGATGCTTAATAAAATAGTTCCTGAAGGTTTGGCCTATAGACATAGCCGAGAAGGACCAGATGATATGGTAAATTGATTTTCACAATTGCTGCAACTAGATGTACATATTAAATTTCTTAATGTATTTGAATTAGTAAGTGTACATGGTATTCACTCAAATGATCAGCACAATTGTACAACCGTGACAATGTAAAAACAAACGTTATTAACCACAGTTTCCTTGCGTCGAGTGGACAGCATAACAAACATTTCGAAAATAGATTTTTTTTCATAATGAACCTAAGGACATCTTGAATTTTTTTAAATGGAACATATAATTTTTTTCTATTATATCTTAGATGACATTCAGACAAATGCAACCAGTACAAAATGTAATACTTTTACTCGTAAAATACTCAATTTATAATAATGGAAACCAATCCATTGACTGACATGTTCCCAGATTTATCTTCACTTGATAAGAATGAGCCAAAAACAAGTACTACTGCTTTCCATTGCTGTAAATTTAGTATTGTATGAATAGCAGTATCACATGTTATACTGATCGAGTTCCTCTTAATGTGCTCTACGATATAGTGGAAAAAATTATAAAACCCAAAGGTAAAACTCACTAAAAATACTCAAGCTGACCTTGGATTCAATATGAAAAAATTGTATTTTCGATATGTTCGTTATAATTATATGTTGTCCACTCAACGTAGATAAATTTTGGTTAATAACTTTCCTTATTACACTCTCACAAATTGTTTTTTTTTTTCAAAATTGTGTTATTTACAGCCAGCGCACGTAAAGGCTTGTTTTCTTGGTTCTTCGCTAAGCATTCCAATTACTGATGGCAAATTGACTTTGGGTAAATGGCAAGGAATTTGGCTATGTGAACATCGTAATGATGCTGGAAGACGTAAAGCTGTTATAACATTAACTGGCTGCCTTCGGGATCCTGCAAGTAGCCCTTTGACTCCCGTCAGTCCTATTGCCTCTACTAGCAGCTAGGACTACTCACATCCCCAAAGGCGTAGCAAACGTCATCTGGGCATATCTAAATCTAACTACTCGATCTAGCAGCCGCTTAATTTTAGCGAAAATCTAAGAGTATAATAAAGAATGGAGTGTATGGATACTGTAAAAGTATACACATAAATATACATGTTTATATTGTGGATCCGATTACAATATTAAATCATATTATTGAATTTAGTCATTTTATCGGTGCATAGGTTTTAGAATAATAAAAACTACTGACAATATTTATTATAAATATCATATCTGTACATGGAAGTAATACATTCGTTATTTGTACTTTTAATAGGTCTAGTGATAAACGATAAATTTGCATTTAGTAGTTCTGTTGAGACTACAGAGAAGTACATATTCCGATCTAAGTTAATAACAGTGGTTGAAAGATGCGGTTTGGTGAACATAATGTTGTTCAGTAGTTATAAACTGCCAAGGCATATGTACATTATATATTGTATATTGTATACATCCAGAAAGATAAAAACTAATCAGTTCAAGTATCCAGCACTCTTCTTCATTACTCTTAGATGCAATTAATGCATTCGAATATAATGCGTCCAGTACTCCGAATTTAATCATTATAGCTTCATTTAAGACCTTTTTGTAAAAAAAAACCATTAACAAGGAAAATAGCATTAATAAATTCTCAGCTGAGACTTGTATTATTTTTTCTAATACATAAGAAAATCTCAGCTTAAGTACGCGCAGTATGATACAACTTTCTAACTCACTGCTTATCATAGGGTTGGCGTTTCTAATAAAGTTTCCATAATATTGGGGGTGTATATAGGTTCTAATCAACACTTCGTTGCCATGCAAATATATTTCAATTAGGGATATGCACGCATGATTGAATAATATTATAGATTTATGCAAAAGTAGGAGCCGCCGTGGTTAAGTTGGTATCATGGTTTTACATATTTTATTTTATGGGCAGGGAATCAACTGTTACCAGAAAAATGGCAAGAAGTTATAGAAAGTAAGGAGAACTATTTCAATTAATTGATGCTCTGGTAATTGTTCAATATTAATAAAGATCTAATGGTTTGAACATATGAGCAAGTCAGTATAAGAGTAAAACTAATAAGATCATCATATTCAGACCCTGGTAAATTTCATTTGAAATGAAAATAAGAAATAACTATTTGAAATAACTTATTTCGGAACTTTATTTTCAATACTGTTATTCGAAAATAACAAAATTATCGATTTATTTGAAATAATAACAATTTCAAATAATTTTATATTATTTGTTATAAAAAATTATTTATTTTGTTATTTTTCTATTTCAAATTTGGCAGAAGAAATAATACTCAAAATAATATGCGACAAGAAAATTTTATTTTAAGAAATCTTTACAGCAATTTGCTTTAAGCAGAACCCGCTCTTCAAGAAGCTCATCTGTGAGAGATTTTTGCTTGGGCCCTTCTAATATTGTCACGAAAGAAAATGATCGTCCCACTGGTATGGAAGATTGAAGAGGGATAAATAATGTAATTTTAAAAAACAATTTCACAATTATTTTTAAGAATTTCAAATGATTCGAAAATAAAATAACATGTTACTTGAAATAACACTTCAAATAATATCATTTCAGAAGTGCCCAGGTCTGATCATATTATTCAAATAATGGTTTAAAATTATCATATTGTTTCCTCATTATAAACGCAAAAAATGAATATAAACATTTTGTTCAATCCAACCTAAACATATAATATGTGATCTAGGGATCTAGAACCGCGAATTGCTGTAACAAAAATTATAGAGAATGTTACAAAATTAATCAAAGCTTATCATGGGAACTTGTTAACGTATCTAATATACTGTTAAGCAAACAGTTGATGTTAGTTGTTAATATTTCTCATATGTAGCGTAAATGGTCATCCATTACAATTAATGGAAAAGCTTTAATGTAAAGTATCCAACGATGCAGTTCGTGTTGCTTGAACAGAAACAGCTCAAAAAAATAGCATTATCAAAAATTATAATAATTAAGGCAGTAAATTTGCAACCAAGAAGAAATTTTGTTTTTTTTCATCCTGAACATCATGGATTGAATTGATAATAATAAAATTAGAAAAATTAATTTCGTACCCATGTGGAATCTTAAGTTTGTAATCTATCAAATAAAATAGGTTCTTCAATATGTAAAATGTATAAGTATGACGAATATAATTAACTATAGAAATGATATTCATTCTGTAATTAAATATGATATAATGGTTATTTATTGGTAATTTGCTTTCATACCAAGTTCATTTTATAAATTAGATAATCGATACAGTATATTTCTTGCAAGGTAATAACTACAAACAGTAACAAAATAGATATAATGTACAATGCAATGAGACATGAATGTACTTAATCCCGTCTTAATGTTTACAGAATAATGAGATAAATGTTTAATTTTTGAGTAAAATTACATTAACGACGTTCATCAGAATTCGTATGCTAGTATTTCATTTTAAGCATAAATGGAAATATGTAACCAGTTCTTTCGTAAGATCGTCTTGTAATTTTTTTAAAATTAATATTTATAAACATACATTAATAATTCGTAAAATACTGTATATTTTCGTTAGATTCATTTTTAGTCATTATCATATAAACATTATGACTATAGAAAATATATAGAATACAGGAAATTTTATCTTTATATTGTGTCGTGTGACTTTATGAAAAATTAAGAACTTATATTGGCAATTAATTGAAACGAAACTTTTATATGAAGGTGTTACATAAATTATAAATAACACATTATTTTCTTTTATATATACAACATATTAATTTTCTATACTTTCTCATCTTCTGAAAAAAAGAAAAAACACTTTCTTACATTACTCTAACAAGTGATGTAAAAAAATATGAATGTAATATAATTGTATGTACAATCTCCAGAGTTGTTCCAACATTATTCAATCTTTTTCCTATCTGTATAAAATCAAATGTTATTAATATAGTGTCTTTTGACAATGTGTATATTTTATCCCACATGCAGTGTAAATTAAATAACATTAAATCGTACATGTATTGAATGGTTCAATGAATATCTTCACAAGAAATGTTACATTGTAATGTAAGTTTGTGCAAATATTTCTTCTTACCAATATTTCATACTTTGAAAAATTTGTGGTACATACGAAACATTTTTCTGTCTCGGTAAACTTTTATCAGAATATGACGTGAATGGAATTTCAAAACTTCAACTTATCGTGTAACAAAATTATATCTGAATATTCAGTTAATGATCAAATATATTTATACTGGAATAAGTAACATACGAAATAGTCACATGCTTCGAATTTATTGTTTAAGTTATTTAATATTTATAAAATTTTCTACGTGTATGAAATTTTTATTAGTTTTTAGCTGGATATAGTGGACCTGCATCATTACATATTAACAGAATTTAATGTATTAAGATTATACAATACATATTGAGTACTATAGTAATGAAATTTAATGTTACTACATGTACATATAATATAACATTTAAACAAAACATAGTGAGGAATATCACATTTATGAGTCAGTGTAATGAAATTTACTTGCAAATATTGTATATTATCTTTAAAGTTAGATAAATAAAATTGTTTATATAAAACCAATAGTACATAGTTATGTTACTTGAAAGAGATTTATTACACGTGAAAAAAGTAAATTATACATCCTAATTTTAATTTGTACATCACTAAATATCAAAGTAAAAATTAGCGTAACATTGCGTGATGAATGCTACGAAGTTGTATTGAAAGAAGAAATAAAATATCTAATCAGAATTCTATTATGAAATTTAGTTCTGCATTACATGAAAGAATGGAACATAGTACAATTTAGCTATAATATTAATATTGTATCAATCATTTACATTTATTTTCATTAAAATACAGTTAAATGTTGATACGTTTCCAATCAATGCAAGGAATGAATAATTAGGATTATAAATTTAAAGAATCAAACTCAAATTAAAACTTACAATATATGTATATATTTAATTTCATAATACATTAATGCTTGATTTAAATTGACAGGCAGTAACATACATATACATATGTGAAATATTGTATATTATTATTATATAACAATATTGCTATGACAAATATGAAACATTTTATTTACGTCACTAATATAATAATATAATTTTTAATATTCAACTATACTTACGAAAAATTAAATTTCAAATCATTGTGAAAATAGTGGATCTCTGTGAAGTCTTTTTTATACAGGAAAAATATATCAATAATACGTTTTTATGTATATATATTTTTCTTATCGAAGTATTGCACTTATGTAATGAAATTGTTATTTTAGTTCGTATAAAATGTTTAGCTTAACTTATCACGTTCATATTGTGTTAAATAATACACCATTGGTATGTAGTTTAAACATAGAGACGTGTGCATACATATGTGTTGTACATTTTAATAGCTTTAGTCTTATGTGTTAATGTTAACAAAGCGTTACAAAAGGCACCAATGTGTTACTTAGCATGTAGTAATAACAATAATGAACTATAGATGTTCGTTGAACATTTTGTGAATGATATATTCTAATTGATACTTAAATATTTATAAAAATATATATTAATATTTCTTTGAGAATGGTAGCGTGATACAGTTATAATATAACATTTTATATACTTTCTGTTTTCCTTTTCCACTTGCAATATTACAAGTGACATCAATAGTACAATTGTAAGAGAGTACATCGATTCAAACGTTTCAATTGATTAACAAAAGAACTCTTATCATTAAGATCTTATTATCTTACAATTTAAATTTAGCGATTATTATGGACCAATATATTAAACACTCTATCATGAGATTAAAAAATTATAATATCGAATTTGCAGGTGAAATTTAACGATAAAGATTATTTAATTTTATATTACTTACTTACATGTTTTCTTTATCGTTAAGTAAAAATTAAAATAAAATACTTTAGAATATATATACTTAATTGTAGTATATATTATTGCGATGAATATTAATAATTAGCGATGAGAAATATTTAATCTTCAATTTAATTCGATACCACTAACGACATTAAGGTCCTCGATATGAGATTGATATTGCTCTACTTTATTTTCACAACTAAAACAAATATTTTAAGCGAGCATTGTCATATTTTTAATTAATTTCACAAAAGTATATACTGTCAATAAACAATAAGATAATGAAAATGTAAATTAATAACGGATACGTAACATTAATTTTATTTGCATATTATATCAATTATAATTGGTGGATTCAAGTTACGATTTAAAGTTCTACTTCTGAACATGATACACAAAATATAAGTTAATTACTTTGAGGATTGAAAATATGATTGACAATTTCTGGTAAAGGCTTACCATCTGGTTTAATATTATCAGATTCATTAAATTCTTTATAATTTTCAGGTATTGGATGTGGGCCTGGATGTCTTAAGTCATTTGCTCTATCTTGTACTTCTTTAAAGGATGCTTTAATATTATCTAACGCAGTACCTAATCCCGTTTTTATTTGATTAAATTCCTGTGTCACTAGCGACAGTCGCCCCAAGAGATAATTTAAGTTGTCATCGACTTCTATCATACGTTTTGTTATCTCACTGACCTATATATGTAAACGTTTATTTAAATAAGTGAAACACAATGCTTTTTTGTTTTAAAAAAAGTTTCATTACTACCTTGGTTTCCATTCCACCCATAGTAGTAGTTGTACCATTAACGTATTCTTCATTCTGTTTATGCAACCTTTCTAATGCTTTTGCACTTTCCGTCATTTGTTGATACATGACATTTATTTGCCGCCATACCTTTTGTAAACATAAATTTCATATATATTTACAGATCGATCGTGTGAAAAGCCACGTATAATCGTTACCTGATTCATTTCTTGTTCCATTTTAGAGGTCAAATTCGCTAAAGCTCCATTCTGATTGTCCATAATATCAATTGATATACCATCAAATCGTTGATTTAGAGTGTTATTAATATTCACACTTTGTGCTTTCACTAAATCTCCTACTTCTAAGAGAATTTGGTGCACCCCGTATTCAACTCTTTTTTTAGTATCCAAGACATGATCAGCCATTGAGACCATTACAGACTGTCCCTTTTCAAGATCCTGTAATTCTTGATTTACACGTTCAGCATTAGTTGCCAAGTCCGTTCTAAAATCTCAGAAATATTCAATAAGATATGTGGACATTCACAGGAGTTAAAAAGTCGACGATATTATTCTCTATCAAAATTATCCAAGCGTACAATAATATTACCTAAGAGATCCTATCGTATTTTTCGTTTCGTCTTTAGCCTCAACTAGTTTATTTTCTATTTCATTAATTCCTCTAGTGACAATATCTTTTAAAGCATGCTTAGCTTCTTGCATGAGTTTTTGAGATTCATTGTGGAGAGTCTGCATGTGGTTAATTCTAAAAAAATTAAATCTTTTAACTCTAGTTACAGATTTTACATATAATATTGTTTTATACAGAAGTATGTATGTTGTATAACATATTGCTAGATAAACAGAAGCTTCTATTAATCTATAATAAATTATATCAACATACCTTGGTAATTCTCTAATTTGTTCCGATGCATTTTCCAAAAGTTTTTGTATAGGAGGTAAAGCTTTTGCGTACTGATCAATGTTAGAAATTGCATCAAACTGTGATTCTTGTAATTTCTTTTTAATTGTTTGCGAATGTTCTCTGACTTTTTCCAATGAAACCTCAAGGTCCCTAAGTCTCGAATTAACATCCTGGATCTAGAAAATATTCAATTTCAACATAGATCTTAACACGCTACAAACAATTACTTACCTCTGTCAGTAATGCTTGTGTTGTTCCTGTTTGAACATTGGAGATATCTTTTAATTTCGTTGCTTCAGATTTTAATATTGACTCTGCTTTTGAAATTCTTTCCATTAATAATGATTCTGTATTGTTCAATTTTGAGAAAACTAAGGACACATTGTCAACAGGAGGTGGTGTAACATCTGGTCGAGCATTAACTTCGGACACCTTAATTTCAATGTGTGTAAGCCAACCTTCTAAACGACTTTCCAGATCTTCTAAAGTATCAACAGTTTTCTGCATCTGTATTCTTTCACGTTCGTCTCTCTAAATTAAAATAAAGCAAATGTAAATTACGCAATTGCAATACAAAAAATTAATACATTCTGATAAATAATACATACTATAATCTTTCTGCAAAGAAATTTAGATATTATTCGTTAATGGCATACCTGAGACATTAACTGTTCGATTCCAGTCACTTTCTCATCAAGCTTTGTCACCTGTAATTTGAGAGTATCAACTGTTGACATGCGTTTCGTTAAAGCAGCAATTGTCTTTTTTAATTGTTCTCCTAACTGACGTTCTCGTGCTTCGTGTCTTTCTAATTTTTCCGTATTTTCGCGCATCATGTGTACTAAACTTAACATTGCATCCTTAATGTCTTCGTGCCTAAAAGCAACGGTAATTTCGTTGATAGTAAATTTTTAATTTAAACTGAATTTGAATTTATATTTTCATTACAAAAAATACTAATGATGACTTGAAACTTACGTAATCTCCTTAGTACTACCAAGATTGCAACAAAGTAATAGCAAGGATAATATCAAAATATACTTCATTCTTAAAAATTTTATCAATGAACAGAAAAAAGATATCTGAAACAATAACAGAAAAATATTAATTTTATTCTTCAAGATAGCGTAATTATATTTACCTTTGCACGGCAATTGCAACAAAATTACATTATCATTGAAACTACCAAAGAAGATGCTGTATCTCTAAAATGAGTGGAATGCTTCCTTTGGCCAATTAATTGAATATGCTGTTATTGAGATAAGAAGCAAAGGGGTCATTGCTGATGACTCTTTGATGGGTGAGAGCATCGTTGTCAGTAAATTGCAGTAGTAATTAAAACTTTCATAGTCAACAAATACAAATACTTTGCTTTTTAATCATTTAAATAAAAATCAATTTATTTTATATTCATTTTGTGTTTGCATTAAAAACAACTGATGTGTTTCAATGCAAAATATTAATAATGTTACAATTAACTACATTAAATCTGTATATGTATATATCAAGGAGGAAGGAAGAAAAATAAAAATAACCAGAAAATTTTTTTCAAGAATAATTGCATGTATATAGGTAAATCAAAATGACATATCAGAATAAAATTTTCTATTATGATATGATATACATGACAAAATAATTTTTAACTGCATTTCTACTTTCTTCAGATGAAAATACTTGTAGCTTTTCACTCTTGAATGTCATAAAGAGAGTTCAAATTTGAGCTATTTATAGATCTACAGATATACATCAAGTGCCATTTAACGGAGCCATATGGTTCATTTGAACCATGTGTTTCAAGTGCAATAAATTCATTTTTTTTTTCATGTTAATAGCTTTGTGCATGTCAGTGTTAGTGTTTAAAATAAAACACATGTTCTGGATCACTAAAATAAAATATAATGAACTTATGAACTATTATCAGAATTATTATTGGGAATGTAACTAATTGAATTTATAAATAAGAAGTACAAAATATTACTTAATCATAATAACATTTATGCGAACATAGTGAAATTAAGAAGAAAATTTGTTATCACTATAATCTTTTCTAAATAAATCCATTTATTAACATTTATTAGAACAAGATTATACACATTATCAACTTCTTGAATTATTGTTTGATTAATTTTCCAATAACTTGATGTTCTTTTCTGGTCATCATAATTTTAAATAATATGTACAGATGGGTAACAATAAATATCATTAATGTTATCATAAATTTACCATTATATGCATATGTCATTCACTTCTTATAAATAGATATTAAAATTTGATTAACATTACCTCGTGTATAATAAGAAAGAAAAATAAAAAATAATTTACATATTTATTTATGCCACTTTGTATGTGAACTTATGTCTACATACATATATACTTTATTATGATTCTTTTGTTTTTTTATAACATTATAATGAAAAATAATTAAATATATTATTAAGTTTGAAAATAGGAATAAGCGATCAATTATAAAAATCAAAAATGCAATGATAAACGTAATATATCCATGTATTTGGGATAATCATAAAACTATTACTTCATGCCATGATTACTAACACTGCACTTAGACCACCATTTTAAAACAGAAATTAAAACATAACGTTTTAAAACAAAGAAATATATTTTACATAATGTAAAATAAGTATTGCACACACTTAAGTATGTATTTAATTATAAAAGTAGATCACTTGAACACTTTACATTTTAATTGTAAATAATAGCAAAAGTAATAACAGTTCAATGGTGTACATGTATGTGATACAAAAACAATAATTTTAATAAAATAATATATACAATAGTAAATTACTTTAAATATCGTTCTTAGAAATATGAATACTAAGTTACATATATTAACAATAAATATGTTTCTGAACAACTATATCATAAAAAAATCTGTGCTGTCGATTGTTAGAAAACGAGTGCAATGTATTTAATTTTGAAAATACAGTAAGTTCTTTACTTACATAAATAATAATCGTATTTTATTCCTTTGTGTAAAACTGGGAGAAGTATAGAACGTCCCGTTTCCTTATTCGATCAACAGAGAACTGATTCCTGTATCATTAGCTAAGTCCACATTTGGATTTTTAAAAAACTAAATACAAAGTAATCTTACCATACAGCGACGAATAGCGGTCATTTTTGGTACTGTATACTGAGGTTTCATCACAAAGTATCCGACATAAGGATATAAAAAAAAACGTCGGTTAAATTTAAATTTATTGTAATATAGCAATATTTCTTAGCACAAAATCGAAGCAAAATCTTTAAAATATTTAATTCAATTTAAATTTTCGTAAATACGAAATATCTGGAACTATAGAGAATGATGTTTTTTGTAATTGAACATAATAAATAATGTTACATACTATTGTGTACCGATCTTAACACATTGTGATAAATTTAAAAGTCTTTTTTAAAGTTCAGAATAAAATTCTTTCATCCAAGATTAAATTTTTGAAGAAATTGGTTCTAAAAATCTATTGGATGCACCACCGACTAGGTATAGGATAGACCTATCATCTTATGGGACTTCGTGTCTCATGTTCTGAACTACCGATAGTGTAAAAAGTCAGGGATCTTCTGCTGCCCTCTACGTTATGAGAACGGTGAATTTGTGAACTACGTTAAATCTAAGAAGGAACCATGGTCGGGAACGGATTCTCTTCCGTCCGTTCGCTATAAAGTAGACGTATTAGAAAGGAGTCTTGGGTCCTAATCCCGACGGACCTATATTAGTTTTTCTTCGCGTACAAAAAAGTTATTGCGTTTAATATTGTTTTTATGGATATGTATATGTATTATTATGTACATTTGAGTAAATTATTTTATTATTCCATTGTTATTACAACAGTTTAACAGTGACAA